CCCCGGGGGGGCCCCCCGGGGCGCCCCCGAGGGGCCCCAGCTCCTGCCCGGGGGCCCCCGGGGGGCCCCCCGGGGGCCCCGCCTGGGGGAACTCCCTCGAGACGGAGTCGCGAGGGGGGGGCCCCGCCGCCAGAGGGGGCAGCGATAACAGGGGGGGCCCCACGGGAGGGTTTACGGGCAAAGGCGGCGGGACTGCTGCTGCTGCTGCTGCTGCTGCTGTTGCTGCTGCTGCTGCTGAGGGCTGTGGCTCCCCGTCCAGCCTCCTGCGCAGCAACAGAAGCAAAACGCAATTCCTTTTCGAAAGAAACAAAGCAGCGGACGCTGCTGCGAGGAGAATCACCAAGCCTCCGCCCAAACCCTAAACCCTAAACCCTAAACCCTAAACCCTGCCGCGTGCTTACGGGTTTGCCAGTTTCGATCTGCTGGAAGGCACAGGCTTGGGCGAATCCCCGTAGGGGTTTACTGCGATTTCCTCGTCAGGGGAGGCGCAGCAAGCAATACTTGAAATTAAAAAGATTAAAAAGAAAAGTAAAAGAGAAAAGGGGCCCCTAGGGGCCCCCGAAATGAACTTCATGAGGAAAAGGAAGAGGTGAGTTTGGAGCGCTGAGGTGTACGTACACCTCAGCAACGCGCGCGCGCCAAATTTGCTCGCGTTCACTTTTCAGTTACTTTTAAAGTTTTTTCGTTTAATTCTTCGAAGAATAGTTTTACTTTTGAAAATTAACCGCAGATTCTCCGGGATTCCTCCTCAGACGCTCGGAGGCTGGAGGATCTGGCTTCTCTTTCTGCGGCGTCTGGTCCGTTCCATGCCGGCGGCAGCGCTCGAACGTGGGCAAACGCAAAGTAAAAAGGAAAACTTAGACCATTAAGGATGAATTAAACGCCCTTATTGCTTTTTTCCAACCCCAGAAAGCCCCAGCTTCCCCCGAGTGCAAAACCCGAAGAAGTCTTCCTTCCCGCCTCTTCAGCGCGCCTTCTACGGACAGCCCGAGGTGTACGTACACCCCAAAACGCGTGCCAACTCGGCACTCCACGACAAATCCAATTCACTTTTATTTCTGTCTGCAGGCGACAAGGCCCCGAGCGCCTCTCGAGGAAGCAGCAGCCGCAGCAGCAGCAGCGGCAGCAGCAGCAGCTTATCCCTTTAAAGACTTAATTAAGAGATATGGAGACAACAAACAAAAGCTCTAAAGTCCGCAGAGCGCTGCATGCACGAAGAAAGCCTCAGGGCACGAGCGCAGCAGCAGCAGCAGTAGCACCAGTAGCTGCTGTTGCTGCTGCTGCTGCTCTGCAGCAGCAGCAGCAGCAGGGCTTTTCTGCGGCCTTCCGGGAGCTGCGGCCCGTGTTGTTGTTGTATTTGTTTGTTTTTTAAGAAGCAATTAGTTTTAGTTAATCTTTTAATTCGAAGTATTTCTTCTAAGGAGCGCTAGAGCAGCCCTCGGGCCCCCAGGGCCCACAGCAGCAGCAGCAGCAGCAGCAACAACAGCAGCAGCAGCAGACTGCGCGGAAGCAGAAGCTGCACTCGGATTATTCTTCTTTTTTAAAATTTAAAGTTTCTGCTGCTTCCCAGGCCCTTGCTGCTGCTGCAGCAGCAAGGGGAGGCAGCAAAAAGCCAAAAGTGGCCTCCAATTGCTTTAAAAGTCTTTAATTCCTTAACAAAGTTCTTTCCAAACTTTGCTGCTGCTAGTGCGGCTTCCTCTCCGGCTGTACGTACACCCCGCGGCTCCTGGGGTGTACGTACACCCCGCGGCTCGTTTTTCGCGCCTCCAAAGGGCCCCAAACTTTGCCGAGTTCCACTTAATTCCTTTTGCAGTTTATTTTCCCTTTAAAGTCCTTTAAAGTCCTTTTAAAGTCCTTTTAAATTTATTATAATGCAGCAAAAAAGCCCCCGAAACTGACATGGATGCCCTCAGGCCTCCCCTCCCGCACCTAGGGGGGCCCCCAGAGGGGGGCCCCCGGGGGCCCCCCTTGGCGCCCTCCCCCACCCGCAGGCGCACCAGCAGCAGCAGCAGCAGCAGCAGCAGCAGCGGCAGCAGAAGCTACTGCGGTGGCACGAAGAACAGCAGCTGCACCGACAGCAGCAGCGGCGAAAACAGCAACAGCAGCAACAGCAACAACAACAGCAACGACAGCAGCAGTAGCAACAGCAGCAGCAGCGACAGCAGCAGCAGCGACAGCAGCAGCAGCAGCAGCAGTAGCAACTGCGACAGCAGCAATGCCAGCAGCAGCAGCAGTAGCAGCAGCAGCTACTGGCCTCAAGAAGCATTTGAGTCGGCGGCAGCTCTGCTGCAGCAGATAGAAGAATTCTGCAGCAGAAACAGCAGCAGCAGCAGCAACACACAGAAAGCGGCAAGGACAGAGCAAGAACACGAGCAGCAGCAGCAGCAGCAGCAACAGCAGCAGCAGCAGCAGCAGCAAGTGTGCCCCTCTGAGTGCGCGCGTCTTGTGAATGAAGCTTTGGAATTTTTGGTGGACATTTTGCGGTGAGGAAATAAAATTAGAAGATTAATATAAATAAAAATGAAATTAAATAGTTTTGTTATTTTTATTTTATTTGTTTTTAATTTTATTATTTTAATTGCAATGCCATTATTGCCATTAATGCCATTAATGCCATTATGCCATTAATGCCATTAATAAATAAGTGCTAGCCAAATCGAATTAAAGACAAAATTTGAAATTAAAAAGAATTTTAATGTTTTTTTGTTCATCTGCTTTCTTATTAATGAAGTTATATTTAGATTAATCCGTTGCCGCTTTTATAGCAACAATAGTAATAATAATAAATAAAAAGTAAAAATAATAATAATAATAATAATATTATTATTATTATTATTATTAGTAAAGTGGCAGCATTGCATGCGAATGGCATTAATAATATTATTAATATTATTACTATTATTATTGTTATTACTGTTATCATTTACTTTTATTATTATTTATTATTTATTATTATTTACTTTATTATTTGTTGTTATTATTTACTTTCTATTTATTATTATTATTATTAGTATTTACTTTCTATTTATTATTTATTATTATTATTTATTTTCTATTTTATTATTATTATTTGCTTTCTATCTAACATTTATTATTATTATTATTTACTTTCAATTTATTATTTATTATTATTGTTGATGTAAAAGCATAAATGGCAAAATGGGAAAACAATAAAATACAACTTCACAATTGCAAAATAAAATAAATTTGAAAGAAAAATGAGAAGCTAATAAAAACAGTAAAGTGCTTGAAGATTAAAAGGACAGAACAAAATATAAACAAATAAATAAATAAATAAATAAATAAATTTAATTAAAATAAAATAAATAGATAAAATTAAATCAATTAAATTAATTAAATAATAAAAATGGCAAAATGGCTGCTGAACGCTTTCAATGTTTTTACTCTTCCATTTTTTTAGGTCTTTCATTTTATTTTTTTAGTTCCTTTTTTGCTTTTCCAACAGTTAACGAACTAATGAATTAATACATTTATTTATTTATTTATTTCCATTTATTTTCCTTTATTTCCATTTATTTTAATTCGTTTTATATCATTTAATTTAATTTAATTTAATTTAGTTTTAATTTTTAATTTTTTTCTTTTTAGACTTCTCGGCCCCAAGCGGGTGGTCTTGAGTTTCAACGGCGGAAAAGATGCAGCAGCAGTTCTTCATTTGTACAGAGCAGCAATCGTCAAATTCGCCTTGCTGCAGCAGCAGCAGCAGCAGCAGAAGCAGTTGCTGCACCAGCAGCAGCAGCAGCAGCAGAACCCAGCTCGGGAGCTGGACGCGCACCAGGAGGTGCAGCAGCAGCAAAACCACTCGAAGCACCAGCAGCAGCAGCAGCAGCAGCAAGCAGAGCAAGCGCAGCAGCAGACACGGCAGCAGCAGCAGCAGCAGCTGCTGCTGCTGCAGCAGCAGCAGCAGCGGCCTCGCGCCATATATTTTCATTCTGGCAGCAAAGAGTTTCCTGAAGTCGAAAGTTTCGTGCGGCAGACAGCCGAGGCCTATGCGCTGGATATTGAGTTAGTCAAATAAATAAATAAATAAATAAATAAATAAATAAAATAAATAAAAAATAAATAATGAATAAATAAAATAATTATTTATTTAATTATGAGGTGGAGAAGGGCTGCTGCGCAGTTGCGGACGTTCGTTTGTTCCCAGTGGTGCACTTCAGTTGCTGCTGCTGCTGCTGCTGCCGCTGCTGCTGCTGCTGCTGCTGCTGCAGCAAAATAAGTGCGGCGTTTGCTGCTGGAGCAGACGAGCGAAGGCTCGCGCCTTTTTCATTTTGATCAATTCACTGATAGATAAATTAATTAATTAATTATATATTTATTTACTTATTTTATTTATTTTATTAATTTTATTTATTTATAATTTGTCTTCAGGGTTTATTACTGCGACTGGGCCTCGGGCATTCAGGACTTCCTTTCCAAACAGAAGGAGAGCCCCATAGCTTTTGTTCTGGGTGAACTGCTGCTGCTGCTGCTGCAGCTGCTGCAGCAGCAGCTGCTGCTGCTGCTGCGATGCTGTTAGTGTTGTAAAATCGGCGGAAAGTGCACTATTCTGCTGCTTCAAAGCCCCGAAAAAAGAAGAAAAAAAGAACTAAACGAATCCAATAACTAATTAATTAATTAATTAGTTAATTAATTAATTAATTCTTTGCTGCTGCACCTGCAGGAAACCGGCGCAGCGACCCGCAGTCCTCGGGGCTGAGTTTGCTGCAGCTGTCCAGCCGGTGGCTGCCGCCCTTTTTGCGGCTAAGTCCGATTTTGGAGTTTTCTTACGGAGCCCTTTGGGCCTTTTTGAGGACTTTTGAGCTGCCCTACTGCCCCCTCTACGACCGCGGCTACACCAGCATTGGCAAGTAAGACCAGCAGCAGCAGCAGCAGCAGCAGCAGCGGCAGCAGCAGCAGCAGCGGAAGCGGCAGCAAAGCAGCAGCGGTAGTTGCTGCGGTAGCTGCTGCGGCGGTTCCTGCGCGCGCACGGGCTGTATGTACAGCTCGCCCCCGTGTGCATTGTGTGGGTGGTACTCATGTGCTCTGCTTGCTGCTGCTGCTGCTGCTGCTGCTGCTGTTGCTGCTGCTGTTGGTGCAGCATGGAGAATACAGTGCCCAATCCGCTGCTGCTGCCCTCGGGAGGGGGGCCCCCGCTGCCAGCTTATGAGCTGCAGCTGTGGGAGAAGGAAAGAGAGGGGAGAAGCAACGGCAGCAGCAGCAGCAGCAGCAGCAAGGGCAGCAGCAGCTGCAGCAACGGCAGCAGCAGCTAGTTCGAGGTGTATGGACTACCCGGAAGCTGGCGCAGTTTGTCGAATTCTGGATTTTGCAGAACTTCACCTTTGGAGGTTTAAATAAATTTAATAAATTAAATACAATAAATAAATTCTTTTTGCAAAATGAACTGTTGCTATTAGCTCGCGCGCCTTTGTATAGTACTCAAGCTGTATGTACACCCCAGCGTTGTGGCCGCGCATCTGCTGCTCCTTTCAAGATTTTGTTTCGGATTTTCCATTATATATTTATTTATTATTTATTATATATTTATTTATTTATTTATTTGCAATTCAACTTCCCCAAACACGCAACTCGCCCCCGCGGAGTGTACAGACACCGCTAGCTGGCGAATGCGAACTCTCAACTTTACCCCAAATCAAATCCAAACGCAGCAACAGCAGCAGAAGAAGCAGCAGCAGAAGCAGCAGCAGCAGGAGCAGCAGCAACAGCAGAAGCAGAAGAAGCAGAAGCAGCAGAAGCAGCAGCAGTTCTTCCTATTTCTCTTTAAATAAATTTGTTTCATTAGTAGTTTAGTTGAAAGAAAAGAACAAAAAAATCAAAATGCCTTTTGAGCCTTCTGCTGCTGCTGCTGCTGCTGCTGCTGGGCTGGCAGCAAAATTGGAACTGCAGCAACTGGAGGGAGCGGGCTGCCGGATCTGCAGCACCCATTTCCAACTAATTGTTTGCAGGAATCGAATTTGATCTAATTAGATTAAATTAAGTATTGAGAGTGGATTTAAACGACCAATTAAATGCAATAAAGAGCTCCGAAAGGGCTGGCCGAACCTACGGGGTGTACGTACACCCCGTCGATGCGGTGTACGTACACCCCGTCGCTGGGGTGTACGTACACCCCGTCACTCCGCCCGCGCCGCCGCGTCGCCAGGGGTCGAAACTTTTCGAATTTTTCCGCAAAAAGTCTCCAAATTGTTCAAATTTTCGCCACCAATTGCATGCATGAGGGCTTGCGCCAGTGCCCGAAACTCCGGCTCCTCCAAAAGCCGAGAAAGCCCCGCAAATGCAGACCCGGGGCCCCCGGGGCCCCCGGGGGCCCCGGGGGCCCTGGGGGCCCCGGGGGCCCCTGGGGGCCCCCCGGGCCCCGAAAAGAGCCCCCGAATTGCTGACTTCAACTTTGGGTTTTGCAGCTCGGGGGCCCCCGCGAACTGGCCTGCAGGGCACACAATTGGGCAGGATTTGTGGAGAAATGAGGGGAAAAAAAGGGCATTTGGGGTCTTTTTTGGGGACTTTGCAACTCCAATTGAAGTGCAAAAGAAAGGCACTTAAGTTTGAAAAAAAGAAACTCGAAATTAAAAAAAATAAAAAAGAAATTCCACCTACGAAGGCGGCTGCGCTCTGCAGCAGACAGCAGCCCGAAGCGCCGCTCTGCTGCCAGCAGCAAACCGGAATCTTCTTTTCCCTTTTTTTCTTTTCTTTCTTTCTCCTCTTCTTCTTCAGAAAAAGTACCATTTGAACTCAAAGATTCCTCATCTGACGAGTCCTCCATGTCGGGGGCCCCCTGGGGGCCCCCCAGCTCTCCCGGGGCCTCCTGGGGGGCCCCCTGGGGGCCAGCAGGGGGCCCCAGGGGGGCCCCCTCAGCCTCCGGGGGGCCCCCCCGCAGGGGCCCCCCCTGCTGCTCCAGGAGCCCCCCTTGCTGCTCCAGGGGGGGCCCCCACACAGCAGCAGGGGCCCCCAGATGGTTTGCTGTTGCTGCTGCTGC